GAGTGGCAAATTAGACTCAAATTTAATTTAAAATAAATTCACCTCTTAACTTACCACATTATGAATATTCAATAAATGTTTACATACAGTAGTAACCAGCTAACCTATAGCTTTGTGTTGAATTTAAATACTGAATTTTAAGAAAAACTTAGCACAAGAACTTTAAAATTACTTTAATTTTTATATTTAAATAAAACACAATATAATTTCAGAATAGGGGTAGGCTCCAGAATTTGCTATGTAAGCAAATCAATAAACCACATCATTCTAAGTTATGTATATAAACAAGAGAAATTTGGGACAGGTTTCAGTGTTTCATAATAATAGAAAATAAATCTCACATATATATATGTGTATGTATGTATTTATATGTATATATAAATATATATCAGATAGATAACTTCCCATTAGTAGTAATTATTACAAAATACTTAACAAACGGGAAATAAAGTAGAATTTTAAATATACTACTTCTATATCTATTATTTTCTAAAGGATGTCAATGTAAAAATTAGCAGTTAGCTGCTAAGATTTACTTGGAAGTTTAATTTTAACAGGAAAAAGTAAACAACCAATTTAGGCTCTAAAAATATCTACTAAGCAACAATGTTTTCAACTGGAATTATTTTCAAAAAATTCAAAGTTGTTGTTCAATTTGAGATAATTTGACATATGTGGCCATAGAGTTTAAATATCAGAAATCATAATTATTTGCTAAGATAAAGAAAATCTGATATCGAGTTTAGTATTTAAGCATGGAGCACAAAGATATTCCATTAACAAAACTACCACCTTAATAATGTAAATGTTAAAACACTACATATGTCCTCAAATTGATGTACAGATTCAACACAATCCTTGTCCAAATATTAGCAGGATTCCTTGCAGAAATCGACAAATTATCCTAAAACTTATACAAAAATTCATGGGATCCAGAAGAGCCAAAACAATCTTTAAAAAGAACAAAGTTGGACAATTCAATTTTCCAATTCCAAAACTTACTACAAAGCTATAGTAATCAAGACAGTGTGGTACTGTCATAAGAATAGACATACAGATCAATAGAATAGTATTGAGAGTCCAGAAATAAATCCTCACATTTATGGTCAATTGATTTTCAACAAGGTACCTAGACAATTCAATGAAGAAAGAAAGCCTTTTCGACAAGTGGTGAAAAGTTACCATATAATCCAGAAATTCCACTCTTAGGTATATACCCCAAAAGAAAAATAAATATATGCCCACACAAAAATTTTTACACAAATGTTCATAAGAGTATTATTCAGAATATCCAAAAAGTAGAAACAACCCAAATGTCCATCAACTGATGAATGCATGAACAAAAATCTATATCTGTACAATGAAATACTATTTGGAAAGATGAAAGAATGAGGCATTGATAAATGCTACAACATGGATAAACTTCGAAAACATTATGCTAAGTGAAAAAAGCTAGTCACAAAAGACCACATAGTATATGATTCCATTTGTATAAAGTGTCCAAAATAAGAAAATCTTTAAAGACAGAAAGTAGGTTAGTGTTTGCCTAGGGCCAGGGGATAAGGGAGGTGAGGACTGAAGGAAATTGGAGGTGTGACGGCTAAAGGGTATGAGGTTTCTTTCGGGGATGATGAAATGTTCTAAAACTGATTTTGGTGATGATTACACAACTCATGTATATGCTAAAAAACATTAAATTGCATACCTTAAATGAGTGAAGTATATTGTATATAAATTATTTTTCAATAAAGCTGTTTCCAAAACACCTATAATACAATACGCTAATAACTAGAACTTTATTCCCAGATAAAAAGGGCTTTCCTAAATAAGAATTTGCATGTAATTATTTTTTTCCTTTGACATCTCGAATTTATGTTTCTGAAAAGAAGTGGTGCAAAAAAATAGAAGCATGCCAATTATTTAGAGAACTGAGTAATAATAAAAGTAAGAAAAATAACAAGAATCCCAGTGTTAACAAAATGCTTTATGGTATACAAAGTACTTGCACAAATGATCCTACAGCCAACAAAATAGCAAACCAGAACTGGTTACTTGTCTTCTTCCCTGACTTTAAACATGGAGATGACATACAAGAGATAGGAAGACAGACAAATCTCCGACACATACTCAATAATTCACACAAAATCTTCAAGAATACTTGGAAAGATAAAAAGTGGCTAGAACTCTTATAGGAGGAAATGGTAGCCTGCATTAGGAGAGGGCCGGAGTCCACATTGTCCTAAATGAATTGATACCTACCTCATCTGCTCTGGGGCAGGAAAGCAGCAGAACCAGTCCAGTGCCAGCCCAAAGCGGCAGACTAATGACGGAGTAACTCTAGAGCTCAGCTCACTGAGGAATCTCGTAGCCATACATACATACAGCTGGCTGGACAACCCTTAAGCATTCACTTCTCCCACCTCAGCTGCTGCTCCAGCAAATACATCTATTTATATGCATATGTTCCATTACTTGGGGAGAAATCTGAGTACATATATTTATTTAGAAACATGGGAGAAAAAATTAAGAATGCTGAGAAACAAGGGAAAATTCTGAAGGATTCCAAGAAGGAAATGTACATCATTTACAAAGGACAAAGAATCAAACTGACATCAGATTTGAGACAACAGAGTAATATCTTTAATGTTTTGAAGAAAAGGGCTTTGAACCTAGAATTTTATATCCAATTAAACTGTTATTTACGTGTGAGGAAATAATAAATATATTGGTAGGCATTCAAGCTCTTAAGAATGCCACATAAAATTTTTCTTTGAAAAAAGCTCTTGGAGGATTTACTGTAGTGAATAATGAAAGAAATACATGAATAAGAAACTAGAAATAAAAAATAAAGGAGAGTAAAGAAAGTTCATTGTTATTTAAGTATGCCATAATAAAGAAGTACATCCATAACATCTGGATCAAAAATTCTAGTTATTATCAGCATGTGGTTGGAGAAACAGAAAGAGTTAATAGCATGCCAAAGTATTAATTTTGCTTGAGATGGACAGTGGAGAAATATGTATTCATAAGCTTTAGTCATTGCTAGGGAATAATATCCATTTCTACGAATCTTGATAGTAAGAGGCAACTATCAGAAACATAAAAATAGAATATGCAATGCTCCTTTTAGTAGATGAAAATTAATTTATCCAACACAATCTGGGGAAGAGAACGAAAAAGAAGTAAGGCTAGTAATAACAAACACACACACATGCAACACACACCCACAATGGGACAGCTGAAATAAGTCTTAGTAGAACAGTAATTATTGTCAATGTAAACACCGATCAAAAGACAGACTCAAGAGTGAATGGTAATATAAGAAGCCAACCATACCCACAACCACTTTATTATGGCATAGGTGTAAAACAGAAAGATACTGAGATGCTGGAAATAAAGTAATAAATAATTAAAGGACTACCAGGTGAATGTGAACTAAAAGAGAGAAAGAATAGACATTTTAAAATTCTGCAAAATAAAATTTAGGGTTAAAAAATCACAATGATAATGAAGGAAATAAAATTTGGAAAAAAATAGGAGACGATATAACGATTATGAACACATGTGCATTTACATTCTTGAACATTATTAAGGAGCAATTGACAAACATGTCGCTTACATTTGTTCCTCAAGTTTGTGAGTTTTCTCACTCTTTGATTATTCATTTTCCCCTTTGGCCTTTGTATGCATAACTTTTTTTTTTTCTCTTGTTACTTGATTTTTTATCAGTATTTGAAAATGTTTTAAGCAGATGAGAAGAAAAAGAATTTGGACTCAAATAATACAGGTTTTCTATTTGTTAAAGGTTTTTCACTGATGTTATTTAAAATGCGGGGCCAGAATGAAATGAGAGCACTTGCTGTATCTTTCATATAATCATTTTCTCTCTTTTCTAATTTCTCCTCAGGTAACGGAAGATATACACATGAATTTCCTAGTGTTCTATCTTCCATGGCAACCTGTGATCTAGAGAAGCAAAAATTCAATACACAAAAACTAAAAACAATCATAGGGAAACATACAGTCAAATATTTTATTCCTTCTAAAAAGTGGCCCTTTGATTACGTAGAGTTGAGATTTAGTTTTATTTTCTCAGAATAACTAAAAATGCTATAGACAGAATCAACTATTTTTGTACCTAGGCTTTTGGAGGAGTCTATTTTTATATTCCTTACTTGAAGAAAATCAAAATCTGAAAATAACAAGAAATTAGTCAAATAAGGCATTTTATAAAAAGGGAAAAATATTTAAATTCTACAGTTTCTTAATCTTCCTACTTTAACATCTTGCTATATGCAAAATGTAAATAAAAATAAAGTATACAATTAAATTAGTATGCCTCAAAATGCTTTGATTGGTCATTAATCAGAATCTGTGTATTTTTCCTTTTGGGGGGTTATTATTTTCAGAAACCATTTCATGCATTATTTCAGGATCCTAATACAACATTTTGTTGCACATAATCATTTCTGTTTCACCATACTCTCTTTCTGCATTTGCAGTAAAAAATGTAATAATACAGCCATTAACCACAGATAAAAATATTCACTGTATTTTATACTTCTCAACATTCAAAAATGAAACTCTATAATTAAAATGCAACTCATCTCTACTCACCTTTTACAATAAACTTTGTTAATAAAGATAGATGGGAATTGTTAACTAGGGTGCACTAGGTACTCCAAGGACTAAATATAGGCCCTTTGTTTCTTCCATCATACCTGTATCTTAAATTCTTTCAGCTCCTATCTGTCAGGGAAAGGCTGCCAGGTGAGTAGTCTGTCACTCTTGCCTAGGCTAATAGATTCTCTAGTGGCTTTTGTTACAGCTCATGTCATACTATTAAAACTATGTGCCTTGAAAATGGCATAACATATGTAGCTAAATCTTGTCAACTCTACATAATCAGACTCTGTTCGGCTTCACAAGCAGATGCAGATTAGAGAAGCAATATAAATATGCAAATCACAGTGGTCCCCTTTCAGCACCACTGTTCCTACCTCTAATGGCCCTCGCAGAAAGTCTGTTTGTTCAGCTCCTACTTCCAGAGCTACATCAACAGAAGCAAAGGGACGGCTGGCCATCTGCTGTCGTTCTCGAAGCAGTTGCTGGAGGGGTTAAAAATGACTTGTTTTAAAATAGATTTAAAAGCACATTAAATTTAACAATATCTGGTTTCACTCTTGAACAAATGACACTGAAAATTCAGGAACCATTTCATACACATATCCATATCTAGAGCACTAAAGATGAAAATCACTTTCTCCCCATAGCCTGGGTTGTATTTCCATAGAATCTTTAAATGTATGGAGACTACAAATACCTTTTCCCTTGACCTCCACCCACAGCCCTTAATAAAATGTACTCAAAATCACTGTGAAAACTTCAGGTGAGAGGTGCTACTTAAGTAAAAAGTGCTATTATGATGATGGCTACGCCAAATTTTCCCTCTCAAATTAACTCATGCTTTTGTCTTAGCTGAAAAAAAAAAACAACAAAAAGAAAACCAGTCTAAATATTTAAGCAAAGATAATGAAAAGCTATCAAAATGCATTCATTAATAGAGATTAAAGGAACATATACCTGCCAAGACTAAGTTTCGTAAGTCATCAGGATCCCCTGTCAATTGCTATGGATCCAGCAGGAATTGTTATTGGCACTGTTTATAACTTTATTCAAAACCTCTGTTCATTATTTTAAATGAGGAATGATGAGCAAATTGCAGAAATTTTGTGCCAGGACTTCTAAAGCACCCGCATTTATTTGCTTCTTTCTCTTTGCTCCTTCTCTTGGCTTTGCCCAAGCTTAAACCAATAAACTAGAAAGTCCCAACCAACTACCAAGCTAATTTATATTTCTGCTTCTCTTTGTAATTATAATATTCATTAAGTCATGATAAGAAAAAATTGATGACCAGCACTAGATATTGCAATCTTGCCCCTCTCATTTTATACAGCTCATAAAATTATTATTAAATATTAAAAGAGCATGAGCAATGCAATTAAATACTCTCTCAAATGAGAACAAAATCATATCATTGAAGAAAGGGAAAATCCTTGAACACAATGAATGGCTTCATTATTTATAGAGATTTTTAAAGATTCACTGGCATTAACTTAAAACGTTAACTACTGGTCTTTGAATGTAAATGTATGTAGCACTGTGATACATCATTCATGAAACTCCATTGTTGATGATTAAGGAACACAAGTCAACACTGGATGGCAGTTGATTATTTAACATTTCTGTTTAACACCTGTGACACAGCAGTGACAGTGTTCACGACATGAGGATCTAAAATATAACTCAAGGCTTTGCTCTTTTATTATTAAAAAGAGAACATCTACATGACAATATAAGATAGAAATAATGCAGCTCAATGAGTAATAAATAGTCTAAGTTCTTAAGTTATATATTTTTTAGAAGTAATAAATGCATACTAAAAATATATATTTAAAGTAAAAAGTAAATGTAATCTATATTACTGAACAATTCACTTTAATATAAAATCAAAATTGTATTAGTAAAAGTACAGCTGCTAGCAAAAGAATCTGGCGTGTGTCTCTCTCAGCAGAAGTGGCTAACTGATCCGAACAGTGTGTCTGTACAAAAGGCAACATAAAGTTATTTCAAATGCCAAGGGAGACACCATGCTCTTTATCTCTGGGAAGTACATACACACACACCAACTTGTCCCTCCCCTTAACACGCAGATATACAATCTACCTTTCCTATAGTGATGTGCAAACAGCCTTGAGAAAATTATAAATTCTAGTTTGTGTTCGAACATAATTTTCAAAGATTTGTGTTAACAATCTCCTCCATTTGTATTAGTTCTCCTCAGCTTATAAATAGTATCTCACATGATTAAGTGATCTTTAACAAAATAAAAAGCTTCTGTTTCCTTACCTTGCATTTTCCCTAGACCTAAAATTAAAACGTCTACAAAATGCAATTAATAAATACTCATTATCACAAATTGTGGTATAAATTGATTAAATATTCCAAGATAGTGATATCTTTAACAAAGAATAGAGTCCCCTAGAATATAATGTATTATTATGACCCCCAAAAGTCATAATAAAGAAAAATCAATGACAGATATTTTTGTTCAATTTAAAAAATTTATTTGTAGAATGTAAAAGTATTTTTAAAGATTCCAGTTCGTCTTCCAAGCTTTGAGTTTCTACCACTTTGTGAGCATTGAATGCCTACTAATATAGTACTTTTTGCAAAGAAGAAAAACATCGCTCTTGCCAAGGACCTTAACACTGTAGTTCTTAAAACAAGACACAGCAAAATAAAAATGATTAGGGCACAAGATAGTGCATCGTAAAGGGTACAAACAGGAAATTATACAAATGAACTTATTCCAGGCTACTTAGTGAAGGACTAGTTAGAGGACTCTTGCTGACATAGCTGAGTTTCTTACTTTGCAAAATTAATGCAAGTGTTCTTATTGCAAAACTTAGAAAGAGTAAATCATTTTCTCCTGATAAACTCTTTGGTGTGATGGCCCTAAAATAATAAAATGGAATAAATTGTGATTATCTATACTACTAATTTCTGCCTCTCAACCATATTCTTAACAATTGTCTTCCTTCTTGCCAATTAACACCTGGATGTACTACTTGAATTTTCCCTTCTCTACGTCAGAACAAAGGAGATATAAACAACATGCCTGCAACTTAAATTTTGTCAAAATTTATTATAAATACTGACATGCAACGCAGTTAGGTTCTGAAGTCTAGAAGGACCTGTGTTTGAATACCAGTTTCCCCACTTGTTAGCTATTTGAGTTTAACCAAATTATTTAGACCCCTCTAAAACTTGATTTTTCTCATCTTTAAAGTGGGTAATACCTACTCCTACACCTATACCTCGAAAGACCTGTTTTGAACCCCAGCTTCTCCACTTACTAGCAATTGGACCATAATCAAATCACTTAGACCTTTCAAACACTCACTCTTCCTTTCTATAACACGGGAATAACAATATTATCTTTAAGTCATAAGGTTGGGATCAGAGAGATGATGCACTCAAATTGCTTAGACAGAGGCTGGTATTGTGAGCCCTCAATAACCGTTAATTGGAACAAGTATTATGTTAAATTTCAAGCATTATTTTTGTCTTTGAACATGGCACACTAATGACCACAGGCCCATTTTCTTCAGCACTAGTGACACATTTTGCTCTACGAGTTTCCTTTTAACAAATGTTGCAAATTTATGAGACAGTTGGAAAATGTCATCATTGTGGTAAAATGGATTTAGATTTGGAACTGCTTTTTGCCACTTGTGACTAAGAACGATAAAAACTCAATCTGAAAATTAGGAGAAAATAGATAGTACTCTCTTAAGAAATTTTGAAAATTAATTTATTTTCTGGTTGCTTTTTATATAAAATAAAGTTTAACAATTTGTACATCCATAAGAAGCCTTAACAGATGCATTTGTTTTATAACTAATCTGCTATTGCCAATTATTCAGCAGAAACATAAAGCCAAGAGAACAAATTGACCATAATACTATAGATTATAATCATGCTGCCATAAACATTGTTGTGAAGAAAATTTAAAAATTAAAGAAGCGTTCTTAGTATAATATTTGTTGCCCATAATAACTGTTCTCCTACTCAAAATCTCTTACAAAACAAAAAATGGAATTAAAAATAATATGAAAATCTATGCTTAAATTTGACAACCAGGTTTAGTCATTGATTCTATCAAATGTATATATCAATACAGATAATTCTTCCACTTAATACTACTACTTCAAATATCGTATCATTCCTTAAAGTTCACCTTTTCAGCTACTGAAAGGCATACAACTCTCTACTAGATTTTAGGGTAATAATCCTTAAAAAGCACACGTACATGCAAAACAAAACAGTGACTAACTCTGCCCCCAGTTGTCTTCATATCTCCTACCTCATGCCTGTTATGTTTAGGCTCCCCGTGCATCTACTCCTCCACCTCCAAATATCTTTCTACCCCACTCCAAGTCTGAAATAATCACCTCTCCTATGAATTATTTATCTTAGTATGGCATTACTTCATATCCCCACGCTTTTCTGGAATCTTCTTTAAGGCCAAATCTATTTTCGGTTGTTTTTCATTTCCCAGAGCACTTAGTTGGTAGTCAGTAGAATTTGATGAATGAACAATTAATGCATGAATAAAGTATTATAAAAATCTGTTTCATCTGTGGTTAAAGGCAAGTTACTCTAAAACTGATTTTCATTTTGAGTAAACTTTTAAAACTATGATATGTCCTTTGGTATTCTAGAATTTATGTCTTACTCTCCAAAGTAGGTAGACATTTATTTTCTTTTAAATGGGGCAATTTTGTGGACCTGTATTTCAAATCAACATCAGGTTTCATATTGTTCCCCATCTAGCTTATCGTAATACTGCCAAGATTATGGGAAAAAATTTCCATAAAGTTATCATAAATGCATTAATATTTCTAATAGCAAGTCTATTTCAAAGATTTTGGAAAGGTATAAAAGGAGCAATCAAAATAATTTTGTCATTACTCTTGAGCTTTTTTACTAAAATGAACACAGCATCTGAATTACAGGTTAAGTAACAATTCATGAAATAGGGTATTTCTGTTAGCACAAACACATTTAACATAGAGTAATACGAGTAAACAATTAATTTTGTTCTTTTGGTGTTAGGATGGTGTGTAAAAGTAAAGAGAAATGTTATTAACTTTTAGTATTATTGAATTAGGAAAGCGTTATATTCTATCATTTTGTATAACTAAATTTGCAAGGCATGAGGTTCAAACTCTTGTTCAGAATATCAGGAATCTTTTGCTTCCGGTCTTCCAGTCTGAAGTTGGTTTTCCTGGATATTGATGCTAGTACATTAAAAGAGTGGCTTGAAAGAACATCTTTACTCAGGCTACTTTAACTATTTTTTTCCCAGCCCCTATAATATTTGACCTACTGGTGATATGCTACTATTGAAATAGTGTTGTTTACTTACAAACAAAAGATTTCTAGTAGCTGTCTTACAGGTATTCACTGAGTTTACTGAAAATACTCATTTCCAACGATTTTTGAAACTTCTTCGTGACTTGTTATTTTTGCAATATTTGCA